TAGTTCCCTGCGTCTTCTTTTTTTCCCTTTTAAAATATATTTAAAATATATATATTTTAAAAATACCAGTTTAAGAGATACTCTGTGACATTCTCTAGTAGAGGAAAAAATAATGAAAAAATAAAATGGCAAAGGATGATTTTTTACAGCATCTTTCTGAAAACGCTTCACAAGTACCTAACCCTGTTTGTTAAGGTGTGTTAGAAAGTACCTGCTGGCCCCGGTGGCTTCCAGGACTGGGGCGTTTGTCCTGCCTCTCTGCTGGAGCCCAACTGTGCATGCCCAGCCTGGGCTTCTGTCCCCACCTCTAGCTCAGACTTTGAGGAGAAGTTAAGCAGACAGACGTCCCTCCAGTCAGTGGCCTTGTGACCTCTCACAATAGGTGTGCACTCTGGGCCCTCCAGTTTCTGATGTAGACTTATAAGCTTGGTGATCCAAGGTTTTTTTTCCTGTTCCTGACACCTTGAGCTCTCATGCACTCTGCTCCCTCCAGCTGCTGGCACCGATGGCCTGTTGTCCCCACTCCGATCTCTGGCGCATGGGCCCTCACGCACTACAGTCACTGATGGTATGGGCATGTGGGTCCAACTATGTGTATTTCTGCTCAAGTTGCTGGTGTGCGCTTTTACTCGCTCTGGTCTCAAGTTGCTGGCATGCAGGCTTGTCCCCAGTTACTTTCAGGGAGAGCTTACAGCACCCACAGGTGGGACAGAGCGTGGAGTTGCACAGAAAGATGATTGGGAGAAGGTTGACTAAGGCAGGACAGGCTGCAGTGGTCAGGCACAGGGCTCAGAGAAGTGCGCTGACTGGTGCCTGCTGATATGTGACTCTGGCCCCGTTATCCTTCCTAGGATAACGTTATCCTTCCTACTCTCACTGCCCCCGCCTCCAACTTGTTCCTCACTAGCCTCTCCCCAGCCTTTGACACTTTCCTGAAGCATTGCTTAGTGAGTTTGCATAGATCCACAGGCTCCCTCAGATAGCCGTAATACCCCTGTTCTGTCACTGCCCCCTTGTCTGTTACAAATTCCATGCTGATGCTTTTCAGAGCTGTGCCTGTGGTTTCTTAATGGCCCATCAATTAATGGCTGAAGAGTTTTGGTCATCTTTGTGATCTCCCTTAGTGCTTGCTTATCAGGTTTGTGTCTCTGTGTGGTCTTTTTATGGCTTTCCCTGTTACTTTGTTTTCCCTGTTACTTTGTTTTCCCTGTTACTTTGTTTTCCCTGTTACTTTGTTTTCCCTGTTACTTTGTTTTCCCTGTTACTTTGTTTTCCCTGTTACTTTGTTTTCCCTGTGAGCTGGCAAAGACCTTTACCTGATAATGTCAATGAACCGGGTGCTCTCACTTTCCACATGCCCTTACACTCTCCTTTTAGCTGTATCATCGAGGGCGGCGATGATGAGGCAATTCCAAGTAGCTGCTATGAACAGGAAATCGAACTAGTAGAGGCATTAGATAAAGAAAATTATCGGTTTAGATAGGCACAGCATGTGAAATAAATAAGAGATGGGTAAGGCTTAAAGTAGATTTCATGATGAAAGACACATTTCAAGCTAAGCAAGGTTAAAGGGTGCCATCAGACTGTCTACAAGTAACTTATGTTAATCTTGAGTAGTGAAGGCTGTCATTGTACTGAGTTGAGGGTAGCACAGATTTAAACTATTAGAAAATTAGCTGTTATCTGTATCTCAAGTTTGATTTCTGCAAGATTTCTATTTTTACTGCTACAAATGTGCAATGGGGAGAGAACTTGTTTCAAACCTTCCATCACAGGGTGATAGGGAATCTTGATCTGTACAGTTACAATGAATTTTTGTAGAGAAGTTTTTTCCCTTAAACAGAATGTCATTTTAAACAGTATAATTATGTTGCAACACTAGTTAAATGGGCTACACTAAAATGATTCTTTTATAAATTTTGGGGGTTTGTCAAAATAGAAATAACTAGTCTCATTGTTTATTTTGTTTTCTTAGAGGAAATTGCTATAAGCACAGTATGAATGCTTAAACAAGTGAAATTTTTATACACTTTCAACACTGCTATATTTTTTTGTTTGTTTGCAGCATCCAGTTGTGACCAGTTTCAGCTGGTCCGAAATAGATGTGCTGATTCTGGCTGGAACGTTTGGCCATGTTTTGAGTTTGGGGGCAAGCAGTTTTATAGAAGAGGAACATCAAACCTGGTATTTTCTTATCAATACGCTTTGTTTGGCACTGTGTCAGGAACTTTGTAGAAATAATTTTCTTCTGAAAGAAAATGACCCTCGACATAGCACCACTGTGAAACAAAATTTTGATAGTATTGGGAAAGCCTCTGAGTGCAAGAATATAGACATTCCAGCAGCAGATAATTCAAAATTGGGCAAGGCCACCTCTTCAGCTGAATTCATAAAAGAATCAGATAAGTGGATAGGCTTAGCAAGTCCATGGATCATCCTTATTTGCTGTCGGCTGCTTCGATCCTTGAATCAGACAGGCGTCCAGTGGGCTCATCGGCCAGACTTTGGGCACTGGCTGACAAGGTGTGTATCTGATTTATTGTCATAGTTTCTGTCTTATTTAAAAATTAATGTATGTTTTGTTTGGTGAAATATATATACATTTCTACAGTCTCTGTTTAGAAACTGCTGTAAGCATGCAAAGCGGGTGAACAGTGTAGCAACATACGAAATTTTTCACTGCTGTTTCATGCAGGAGTAATTCCTTGTGTACTATCAATAGTTTATAATCTTTGCCCTGCACCATGACTTAAGTAATTAATGCCGATTATACATGATAGGCTTATCAAAGGCAAAAAGTAAATATTTTCCATGTGAAAATCAACAGTGTCTTGTTTGGGAAATTAAAAATTGCTTAATAGAATTTAATCCTTGAAATGAAGGCAGAAGGTTCTGCTCAATTCCAAACTTTAGGAAGTTACAGGAGAAGATGCTGCATATAGAATTCTTCCTTGTCTATGACAGATATTTAACGTGTGGTTGAAAACTGAAGGAATTTTCCAAGTGTAGTATGATAAACATGAGAGGGAATTTTTTACAACTTGAAGTATGCTGGAGAAGGGCTTCTACTTTTTCGTGTTGAGAATAACTGCAGCCATTATTCAGTGATAAAAAGTACGTGATATTTGAAGTGTCTTCTGAACTTCAGCTGGTGGACGGAAAAGCAATGCTTTGTGACTGTCTAGTCAAGGTTTTGCAGGCAGCAGGTGGGGAGGCTGTGCTGTGTAAAATAAAGAGATTTCTTGCCAGTATCTTACAACACATGGATGAAATGTCATTCATCATTCATTAATAGTGACATGAGCAAATGAACTAATATGAGACTCGTTACTTATTGACAGCCTCACAGATAAAATGTTAATTGCTGTGGCAGGCATGAGTGCTGAAATACATGAGTTATGAGGGAATTTATCGGATTATAACAGTTGTTCTATACCAAAGCTTTTGCCATGCATTCTTCCTCTTAGATGTGATGAGTTGAGGAAGGAAAGTCATATTCCCAATGTTAAGTCAACATCATAGAGAACTCCTTCGTTATGAGCTCAGCCAGTGTGTGAGCAGGATTAGGTGTGATTTGGTGTGACTGGGAGGATTTTTATAACTAATCTGGGGCGTCTTCCAAAGATTTATTTACCCAATAACTTAGTGAGCCAGATGTCTTCTTCAGACTGTCAGCCCTTTTCTTTGGAGTGTACTAGTGCCACAATGCCATGAAACAAGGACTTGATGTTCTTGCAACTGAAAAATTGTGTTTGTTTCAGAGATATGCTTTTGCTTGTTTTGTCCTCCAGGAATATTTACTGACGCTTGGAAGTGTTACTAACCTTCTAAAAATTGTGTATGCATGCCTGGACTTAACTTCCAACGATCCTGTCTCAGTTAAGCATCCTCCCACCTCTAAATTCCTGGTCCTAGGTATGCCTATAGAGCAGCAAAACCTGTTCTAGCCTTGGATTCTGGGGTCTCAGGGAGACAGCACAGGCAGAACATATTCAGAACAAAAGCTGGGAAATCCTGTATGCCTAGCTCTAACACTTGTCTATTAGGAGCTTCCAAGCAACCCACTCAGGTAAACTAAGGTTATTTACACCTGTTCTGGCTTAGTCTTTTTTTTTTTTTTTTCTCTTATTGTTGGGGAGGGAGGAGGGAGAAGGGAGGAAGGAGGCTATTTTTGTGTTTCTGTTTTTTTTCTCCTGTGAATGGGAATTGGTGTGTTTTGCAGAAATCTATCTTTGAAAGCAACAGAATCACAAGACGGCTGAGATTGGAGAGGACCTCTGGAAATGACTGGGTTCAATCCACTTACTCAGAGCAGAGTGATCTGGAACAGATTGCTCATATCCTTGTCCAGCTGGGTCTTTGATATCTCCAAGCATGGAGACTCCTCAACTGTTCTGGGCAACCTGCTTTCTTTTTCATGCCAAAATTTTCCTTCTGTTTAAACAGACTTTGCTTTATTTCAGTTTGTGTCCATTGCCTCTTGTCCTTTTGCTGGGCACCACTGAAAAGAATATGGCTTCATCTTTTTTAACACCCTCCGCCTTCAATCAGGATAGTAAGATCTATACTGAGCCTTAACTTCTCGAGGATTAACAGTCCCAGTGCTTTGAGCTTCTCCTTGTATGGTAGATGTTCCAATCCTGTCATCGTTTTCCTACTCCTTTACTGCACTTGCTCCAATACGTCTTATCTTTTACTGTACTAGGTAACCTATAACTGGACCCAGGGCTGAGCACAGGGGAAGAAACACCTTCCTTAACCTGTTGGTAATGTTTTTCATAATGCAACCCCAAATGCCGTTGGTCATCTTTGCTGCAAGGGCGCATTGCTAGCTGATTATCAACTCGGTGTCCACCAGGATGCTCAGTCATCTCTGAAAAGATGATCAGCCCATAATCTGTCCTGATGCACGTGGCTGTTTGTTTCAAGGTGCAGGACTTTCCTCTTCCACTTGTTGAACTTTATAATATTCCTCTTGGACCATTTCTCCAGTCTGTCTGGCCACCTCTTGAGTGACAGCAGACCTGTCTACTGTATCAATCACTCCTTCCAGTTCTGTATTGTGTGCAGACTTGCTGGGGGGCACTCTGCCCCATTGTCGAGGTTGTTAATGAAGATGTCAAACAGTATTGGTCCCAGTGCCAAGCCCTGAGGTTGACCACTAGTGACTGGCCTCCAAGTGGACTTTGCCCTTCTGATTACAACCCTGTGAGCCCAGCAGCCAAGCCATTTTTCAGTGCACCTCACTGTTTTCCTGGCATGGACTTTATCAGTTTGCCTGTGAGGATATTACGGGAGATCATGTTAAAAGCGTTGTTAAAACCGAGATAAACAGCATTGCCTGCTCTCCACTCTTCCACCAAGCTAGACGTTTCATCACAGAAGTCGGTTAGGTTGATTAAGTATTACATCCCCTTCATTAAGCCATCACAACCCTAATAATTAAAGCTTTCTACCTCCTCCTTCAGTAAGACTGAAGTACAGCATCTAGATACCAAAACTTAAACTTCAGAATTTTACAGGTGAATTGCTCCCTGTGCTTCCCCACCAAATTATAGCCTCACGTTGGGTATATTTGCTTGGGTCCTGAAGCAAGCGGAAGTGGAAAGTTCCTACAACTATAGTCTTAGGCTACAACTGCCTGTTTGACTCTAATGGTATGTTAAAGGAGTTCTTGGCTTACAAGGCAAGATACCTACTGTATTGCTCCTCCCTCACTGGCCCTATATTCTACCAGCATAGCTGGTGATTTGTCAGTATGATGAATTAAATCAATGAATAGATGTGACTGGAAAAATAACCCAAGACGGGCTGGGAAACTCTTGGCTTTCAGATGGATCACTTTCCGCTTGGATCTACCATCCAGCTTCACAGGCAAATGGGCTGGTTTGGTAACAGGATTGCAGGAAGTGAAGAGTGTGCAAGCCAGCACTGCTGCTATTGAAATTCCTGTGGAAATAAAATGTGGAAGTATCTGCATCTTTTGAAGAGCTGCAGATGTAAACTTTTTTTTTCCTCTTTCTCCATTGTCAAGCATTCCTTACAAAAATCCACTTGCCTTTCAAATCTGATTGTGAATTATTACTTCTTTCCTCAAACTTCTGGTTTTGGGGGCTTTATAAAGAACGATCCAGAGTGGAACAGTCCAGAGTGCTGTGCCATAACAGGCTAAGAGGATGTGTCACTGGGGCTGCCACAGTGTTTCCTTCTGTCTTTGGTTGGTGTAGCTACTCTTCTGCTGTGTTTAGGGATCATGTGAAAGAACAGAACCCTGGCAGACAGGTTGGTTTGGGCTGCTGTGCAGCTACATCCTGACTCAAATCAGTGGAACAGTTTTTATCCTAATAGGAGAATACAAAATGTGTCACCATGTTGACATATACTTCAGTTGTTTTATTTTTATGGAATTGAAAGATTGCCCAAATAGCAGCATTTGAAGTCCGCAGTTTTTGGACTTGAGTGATGGATTGTAGGGAGGGATGGGGATGGGTCTGAAATGGTTCACCAGACAAGCTTCTGAAAGATCAGTCAACGATGCAACTAAATCTTTGCATGTCCTGTGGTTTGTAGAGTATCTGTGAATTCCTATTTGGCAAGCATGCTTATATTTTCTTTGGTTGGAAGTTTTATCATCTTCATTTCTTCTCCTTCACAAGAGAACAGGGTGGTAGAGATGCCTGTTTCCCTAGCGTTTTGATTAGGATTGAAATAATATGTTTTTCTTTTAGCATAAATTAGAAGTTGGTGATAAGCTGAGTTGCATAAAGCACTTATTCCTCTTCCTAAAATGCATTGCTAGTCTGTAAAATTGATTTGTTTTCTATTTTTAGTATGTGTTTAATTTGCGTAGTTATGTCTTAATAGCACATTTTTTAGTAATAAGACATTAGAACCTTACTTAGACTATGTGTACCCTTGTTACTTTGAGTTAAAGCTGCTCAGGCTTTTTCTAGCTAGCCTTCTATTTTGTCTCTAAGATAAGCTAATGAACAAACTACCCTCTTTCCCCCCCCACCCCCCACCTGTATTGACCTGTTAGGCATCTGTGCTCATGCTCAGACTAATATTTTGCTTATCTGGACAGTGCTTAAGGGGCTCAGCATTTGAGACACAGAGACTATTGTGCAGGTTTGTGCATGGAATAACATGCGTGGCAAAAACCAGAAAATCAGTCTACCTGTGGTGTGTTGAATTTGTCTATTAGAGTTGCATTCAACTTGCATCCTTATTCAGTTGCTGCTGAAATAAGGAAAATGTTCTTTGTTATTTGCAGAGACATTCTGTGAAACCTGCTACAAAGGAAGAAAAAAAAGGGGCTTTGTTGGGAAAAAGAGCAAAAGAAATCGGACAGTAGATGAAGCAGAAGAGAACGTGCAATCCTTAAATTTGCCTGGAAGTCAGGTTGTCTTTTAATTAGTTAGTATTCACTTAGCTTCATTTGGCTGTTAATCTTGGTCAGAGCTGATACTTGGGAGGTGTCAGAGCTGCTACATGGCTCACTGTGGAAGGAGTGAAGCTATCAATGACAGCTTGAGCTTGAAGAGAACTGATGAGGAGAAGCATGGGAAGATGATAATATTTTCTTTTAGTCATATACCTAATCATCCCCAAATGCGCTTACCCCCAAGGCTAGCATAGCATGTGAGTCCTGTGTATTCTATTGTATGTAGTAGAACGAAAGTAAACAATTAAGAAGGCTTTATCCACATAAAATATGAATCATGTACACACTTATAATTCCTTTCATCCTACTTGTATTTGCAGTAGTGAGATGAGGTCAAAGCAGTGGAAGGAAATGTATTCAATCTTCATTCGGTTACCAGAAGTATGAAAGTGTACACCATAACCTGTTGCAGTAAGAACATAAAGCCAAAACTCTCTTTTTTTTTCCTTCCCCTCTCCCCAGTTGCTCTCTCAGGAAACTATTGGTTCTTCACTGTCAATTTTGTGTTGGGTAAACCCTACTACATTTCAGCTGAGATCAGAGTAGCACATTTGTGCTTGTTATTTCTAAATAGAATATCAAAATCATTTAGAACTTTACTAAATGGCTGGACTCTGTGTTGAGC